ATAAAACTCTACAAAATTAAATTATTTCATATAGTTTGGTACATATAGTTAAAGGTTTAATACCACTAATGTTTTAAAATAGTCAAAGCATAAATCCTTGTTCTCAAAACTGGTTAGTGATGAATATAATTTCTTAGTTTCTTCCCAACACACTGTACAGTAGCAAGTACGGTTTAGTTGACTCCCTTGATTTTCAACCAATGTATATCTAATAGCAATAAATAATAGTAATAGCTAACACTTTTATAGCACACAATACACACCGGTCATTAGAGAGAAAACAACAAATAAGAAGTAATGTTCAAAGAAGACAAACCCAATAAATTGGTCTTACAGCTTTTTCCATTTATATTAGAAAAAAGGCAGGTAGTGCAGAATTATCATCCTGTCAGTAAGCTTCATCAATAGTCCCTTGGAATAAGAAAGAAATGTTCCCTTGTTAGGTGGAACTCTCTGACACGACAAAAACAAAACCTAAGAGAGAAAGGGGAAGAGAAAAAGAGGAGAGAAAAATGTAGTCTAAAGTGTAATTCTTTGAGGCTAAGAAATATATGATAGATAGTATTTGCTGGTTTAAAAAATACTAGTTGTACATATTTTTTTTCATAGTCTTTGTGGCAGAGAAAATTAAGGGGATGGTAATCAAATTTCAGTTTCTGCTAAATAATGGCCCTTAGGGTATTTGCACTGTCACTTTATTCCCCTAAATAAAGACTTAGTAAGGTGATAAATAGACACTTTATTTCTAATAATGAAATTGATCTACTTTCAGATGTAAATCTCAACATATTTGGAAAAACAATGAGATAAATTTACTTATAATGCTTTTATCAGTATTCACTTAGAGATGGAAAGCAAGATAATATTTAGTTTTACTTGTTCAGAATGCAGTGTCAGCTGGATGTGATGCTTGGTGCATGCCTGTAATCCTAGCACTGTGGAAGTGCGAGGCAGGAGGATCACAAATTCAAGCTCAGCCTGGGCAACTTAGCAACTTAGCTAGACCTTATCTGAGAAAGAAAAAAAGAATAGGGTGGGATGTAGATCAGTGAGAAGGCCCCAGTTTCACCCTCTCCCAAAAGCAGTGCTTCTGGAACATGGAAAATACAGTACATATAGACAATATAGCAAATAAAAATGCTTCTCCTTTTGTTAAGATCAGCAGTCTACTTTGCATATTTTATTTCACTCACTGAGTAGAGGTCTCATGATTCTTTGATTTCAGGAAAGTATCACCAGACAAAAATATTAAATGAAGGAAAAAGTTCCCTATGTTAGAATTCCAAGTCTTACTTCTGTCAGTGAAAACCCGAGGTGATCAACAGTCATAATTAATAATTATTATTAGTATTAGAAGTAACTCATGGTGAGTTTTAATAAATATATTTAAAGAAAGTACTTTAACACATATATGTGCACACATAACACAGTAGTCTACCACTTATTCAATATTGTGATCTAAGATAAGGATATTTCAAGCTGTATTTCTATAATAGTTCAAGAGCCAAAGTTTGTTATCCTGACTTAGATGCCAAAATTAAGGCCCAGAAGTCAAATGAGATAAATACGCTGTGGTTTGCATCTTAAACACCTGGTTGACAGTCCCCAAAACTGATGACAGAGGGGTAACATTATTTCTAAGAACAAGTGATTTAAGTGTTCCAGACTATGCCTTGCAGTTAGTTTAAGATAGCGGTCTCCCGTGATAGGGGGATATGCTGAGACTGATTTTAGATGGGCTTGTATAATTTATCTTCCAAAATTTAATTCTGAAGACTAAGCAATGTAGTACTGAAAAGTTTTGAGGAATTTTTTTAGGATCCATTGGATAACTGTCAATTAAAGATGCAGCATTTGTTTTATTCTTCCTTTCTCTTAATCTGTGATATTCTCAGAGCTAAAGAAAATTCTCAACCAATTAATTTCTTTTTTCTATTGAAGGTGAATTAAACTGCTATTCATTGAAGTATTCATCCTTTAGAAAAACCCTATACATAATGATCTACATAAAACTTAGTATCTTACCAAAGAACATGATTTTATTTATTTATTTATTTATTTATTTATTTATTTATTATGTATTTGGTATAGGGTCTCACTACACAGCTAGGACTCATAATGATCCTCCTGTTTTTAGCCTCCCCAGTGCTGGGATTACAGGCATGCACCACCACACAGTCTTGGCTGCTGGCTCAGCATGCCTGGGGAATGGTGCCAGGGTAGCATGTGGTCCTGGGGATCGAACCCTGGTCCCTACGCTCAACTAAGCAGGTGCCTTGATTGTATTTTAAAAAGGTTTACATACAACCTTCTCAAAACTTGTGAACCATCTAAAATATGTGTCTAGTTGAATGTACTTTTGTTTTTTTGGAACTGAGAATTGAGCTCACAACCTTGCATTTGCTAGGTAGGTGCTGTTGTAGCTGAATGTACTTCAACAAAAAGAAAAAACAATGAAAGTTTACAATTTAAAAAATGTATCTTAGTAAAAAACTGAGCTTACTTAAGAGAGCAAACAATCAAGTAAGTAAAAGTAAGTTTGCTTTTCATCTTTCCTATCTTCCCCTGAATTTGAGGTACCTATTAATATACTTAAATGAAAAGTATTTGATCTTTTAGGAAATCAGTACTTCAAACATTACTAATTTAGTACTAACTACGAGGCAAAGAGAATAAAATAATAGCATATTTTACTTAGGATTTTTCAAAATGTCAGTGAATAATCTCACTGGTACAAAAAAACTAAGCTCAGAGAGGTACAAATACTTTCTCATGTCATCATACTAATTAATTATAGAATCTGGTCACCTCCTCCCAATGTCTTGATTTTTTTACCAGGTATCAGTTAGTTTTGAGAAAAATAACAAATTAGGTGTGTCCCCACAATGAGGACTTCTACTATTAATTTTATATGAAACACTTCACATTATTTTAAATTAGACAATAAGTTAACATTATGTACCAAGGTGACAATAAATTAATACTCCCTTCATGTTTGGATCAAGTATCATCTAAAGTCTCACAGCACTACATAAAATTGATGCATCAAATCCAACAACACATCATCTTACTATTTAACAAAATTATGTCAACATTGAACAGTGAAAAAAGCTAAACCTTTTCTTTGTGTATAGATTTAAGCAATTTTCACTATTCTGTGCTCTACGCATGTATTGCTATATATCATAAAAACTCAACTACACAGTTAATCCAAAAAATAATTTAAAAGCCATTTCAATAGCAATTTCTGTGACTGAGTCATGAAAACAGACATAAAGTTCTTGAGGTTTTGGATGAAGAAAGAGTCTCCTGCAGAGAAAAAGAACACATTCATTTCAGAACTTAAAATGACAACCCTTTCATTTTATTTTGTTTTTGAAGGCAGTGGTAATACATTTAAAAAAAAAAACATTAATTTACATCTCTAAGGAGAATGCAGCTAGATTTACTGTATTTCTAAATAAACAGCGTATGCCTTATGTCAGTGATGGTGAGCCTTTCTTTTAGAGATCTAGTGCCAAACTGCAACCCCACCCCACTTATTTACTGCAAAGTGCCAACACCATGAATAAACTTGAACAATGACATCTGAATGTAAAAAAAAAAAAAAAACAACCAAAAAACAACTCATACATTAACATCTTTTGTCTTACAAGACAAACACAATAACATGGGTTCACAGTGGTATCACAGGTTTACCACTGTCTTAGGTTATTTTTATAGAGTAATATTCTGTTTAATCAACACATAATACCATATCCTTCAGTTTTAAAAAACTATTACAGTATAATCAATAGCATTAGCATCACATGTAGTAATTATTAGACATTTTATTGCCAGTTTCAAAAGTTTATTATTAAAATATCTGGTGGTTCATAGAGCCATAGATTTGAGATTAAATTCTTGTTAACTCTAAATGAGTTAATTTTTTTAACGTATTTAAACAAATACTCATGTATATAGAACAATTTGAGTTGAGGGGGTAGCTCTTTCTGACTTCCTTAAAATTTCTTTTATGCTGAGTTACACCATCATAACCAAACACCTTTTGATTCTATTGTATTGTGGGCACAAAGCCCCACTGCACACCTGCATAGGTATCTAATAAAACCCACCATTTTGTTGGCTGCTCCCAGCTTAATCTGCCAATAGCAGTTCTGATTATGCAAAATTAGTCTTTTGCTCATGATCTAAAATCTAGTGGGTTACATATCACAGTCATACAGGAGCTAACTAAGAAATTCCTACTCCCAGAGATTCTGATATATGCATGTCTGATGTCTGGGCATCTGATTTTCACACCTTCATACCAGGGACTGAACCCAGGGAGGCTGAATCTCAGCTCTTCTTTATTATTTTAAGGCATAGTCTTGCTAAATTGCCCAGACTGGCTTCCTGCTTTAACCTCCCAAGTGGCTGGGACTATAGGCATGCACATCACTAATTTTAACAAGTGACTCAGGTAATTTTAAATCCTAAGTATTAGCATAGTGAAATCACTCCTTTGGAAAATATTTATAAAATGTTTGTCATACACCTGAGTACCACATGGTATGTGCCTTCAAATTTAGTACTACTTAAGTCTGTGCCCTTTCCTTTTCAATTATTTATTGCAACATGAATCTTTATTATTTCTGTCAAAATTCAGTTCTTTAGGCAGTAATAAGAAAACAATGAAAGGCTAATATAGAGAGTAACTGAATAGATACTTAATGGGGAGAAGAGATCGTGAAACCTCAGGAGATGATCTATTAGCCCTGCTCTAACTTTAAAGAGCCAGATACACAAAGGTTAAGAGATAGAACAACCCAAGAGAAGGAACAGAAGAAACAAGTCTTGACTGGTGGCAGCTAGATGATTCACAGTGGACAAAGGAAGAGCGGAAGAGGATATAGAAGCAGAGAGGTAGGGCAGTCAGGCTGAGCTGGGTCTTGGGGGAGAGAGAAGAAGGGAAGAAAGACAAGTGGAAGAAAAAAGAGAAAAGGAGAGAGAGAGAAGAAAAGTCAGGAAGGAAAGAAAGAAACTGGGGAAAACCTGGAATTGCTCTGTTAATGATTTTGAAAGATAAGTGACCAATTTTCTTAATAGAAAAGATGGCAAGGACTTGAACTATTTAGGAAATAAAGTAAAACTATAAAATTTGTTAAAATATTGTAGGTAGAATAATAATTTCATGCTGTCATAATTTGTATCTAGATATGCCCCCAAATCTTCATGTACTCATCGGCGGGGGTTTTGAAGGTTGTTGGATCTAGGTTGTATGAATATGGATTAAGGGCTCGATAACTAAATCCGTTTTTTTTTTTTTTTTTTTTTTCCTTTATATATTTTAGGGCAGTGTTTGCAGGGTGTTCAGGGTCTCACTATGTAGATCAGATTTGCAGTGATTCTCCCGTTTTCAGCTTCCCAAGTGCTGGGACTACAAGCACGAGCCACTACACTCAGTCTCAACTGACAGTCTCAGTGCACCCTGGGGCAGGGCCGGTAAGGCACGCTGGGGATCGAACCCTGGCTGCTGTGCTCTACCTAAGCAAGCATGTTAGTCTGCTGAGCTATAAGGCTGGCCCTTGATCCACTGGTTTTGATTGGTTTATCATAGTTCTAGGTGTAGGTAAATGGGAGGCCCCACCCTGAATATGGGTAGCACCACCCAAAGTTATAGCCTAGATGGGACAGAAGGGAAAGGGAGCCTGGCTGCTGCAGCTTTGCTGCTTTCTGCCTGCCACACCATGGACTGTTTTTCCTCCATGATGCCTCTGCCATGCCACTATGCCCTAGTAGCCAGCTATGAATTGAAATCTCTGTGGACTGTGAGCTGAAATAAATCTTTCCTCCCTTAACTTGTGGGTACTGAGTACTGACTCAAGACACATGCCAGATTTTAAAAATTAATTCTAGGTGTAGTGGTACACCCTTGTAATTCCAGCACTTAGGAGTCTGAGGCAGGATTACCATGAGTTCCAGGCAAGCCTGGACTACAGAGCAACACCCTGTCTCAAAATAAAATCTCCTTTACTAGTTTTCTTTCACTTTTTAACATTATATTTTACTTTCAAATACTTTTTTTCTCTTACCCTATGACCCAGTAGGCCATAACTGGTGGTGTTTTTTTCTGATCAGTCCAGTTTTCAAGTGAGCATTCAAACAACACACCGTGTTCTTTCACAGGATTCAAAGAAGACACTGAGTTTGTAGAATCCAGATGATTTGTGCCATTTACTGCTTTCTTTTTCTAAATATTAATAGACATAATTAATATTAACTGGTATTGTAACTTTAAAATTTTTTTACATGTATGATTTGAATTGGCTGATGCTAATAAATAAGTGCCTACAATGCCACTTTCCCCTCAAAATTTAGTTTAAATACTATGTCTCAGAGGTTCCTTTGTCTCTTTCAGGGAACAATAATTAACCACACTGAATGGAGTACATTCACCCCATATTATTAGTATTTACATTACATTAGCTGTGTGTAGATTGGGGTCCTCCAGTAGAAGACAGAAAATTATTGTGCTTTTTTTCCAGGACAGAAGCAATATATTTTTCATTTCTGGTTTTTTTCCCCCCTTGTATTAGAAGATGATCCCAGGGCCATCATACTGATCTATAGCCTCAGCCTTCCTTCACTCCCTTCCCACTCTTCCCTTGCCCCTCTGAATTCTACTCAGCATTAGGCACAAATGTTCTATCTCTTCCAGAAAAATGCCAAAGGTTTTTTGTCATAGTCTTAGTGCAGGCATGATCTGGCCCTGCTACCTCTGAGGTTTAATCACCCTTCACTCTTCTCTTAGCTCAGTCCTCTCTAGCATCCCCTGAATCCCTTGTACCTCTTCGTCTTTGCACTGTTCTTCCCCTGGGTGAAGGCTGGGCCTCCAGATAGCCACATAATAGCTCCCTCACTCAGTCTGTGTAAACATGACCTGACATGATCAGAGGAACCTTTCATAATAGTAATTCCCACCTCTCAGCCTATGTTTAGTAATCTTTTTGACAATCATCCTTCCTGACATAATAGTTACTAATTTCTTAGTCCTCTCCATTTGAAAATAAGCTATAGTACTCAGTTTTGTTCTGCACTTTTATGACCTAGAATAGTATATGGTGCAAAGTAGGTACTCTGGTATTTAAAGAATATGGAAAAAGCTAATTTAATTTACTAAATATTATGAAATAAATTAATGAAATATTCCCTCATACAATTGACCAGTTTTATTAAATAGGGATGGAGGAACATAACCCTGAATATGTGGGAGTACCTAATTACACATACCAGTTTTGCTTAATAATAATTTCTAAAAATGTGAAAAAGAAATCCTATATGGCAGAATTTTATTGCTAAAAACCCTTAGAGATGATATCACTCATTCTGCCTACTTTTATTACTGAAGAAATTAGTAGAGTTAAGGATCAATCTAAGATACCTTATTTCCACCCTAAATACCTCACAAATTTGGCATCCTTTATGTATATTTTGCTATATGCACTGAAACCATCTTCAGAGTTTGTTTTAGGGAGGCTGAGGACTGAGGAGGAGGTTTGGGGAGGGTATGGGAGGGTGTTTGACCAGTACTACTCTACATGTTTATCCATTCCACAAAATCAGCACTTATTTTTCCACGTCATCAAACAACCTAAGAGGTATTTTAATTACATACAGCATCATTACTTACCCAGCAGGTACAACATTAAATGAAATTTGATCCTGGAAAAGTAGGCAAGCAATCAACCAAATACTAAAATATTTTCAATAGTATTGTGTCTGTACCTTAACTCATCTTGTTCTGAAACACTTTATATTATTAGCACAATTCTTACAACATTATCAGTGTTATTTTAGGAACTGATATTATTGACCAGTATTGGCTGAGTCACAGATATCAAACATAGGAGCTCAACTGACTTATAAGTCATATTCTACTCTGCTACAGTCTTGCTTTATCTTGGTCTAAACCATCCCGCAGAAAAGTATAAAAATGAAGTATATAAAGTAAAGCTATATAAATATGCTGAGCTGTGAAAGGCTTAAGTCAACAACTTCTGTGGATAACCCACTACTACTGTGGACTGCTGGACTGTGTTGGATTGTTTTGCTGAATTCACATACCTATAGTATTTAGATGCCAATGGAATACCCATCTCTGACAGGACTAAACAAAAAAAGGGGATACAAAGGAAGGACCATTTTGTATCTGTATATACAAAATAGTTAGGACAGATATACAGCTACCTTCGCTTAATTCAATGAGAAGAAAGATTTGTACTAATAGTATTTGGACAGGATATCCTGTCTGCATCTTGTACTATGGATAACCACTAAGAAGATAACAGTGTATAATGTGTTAATTATTGAAACTGTCCTATTAATAAGTTTTGAAACTGTCTTATTGCTATTTGTTTCTCAATAAAATAAAAAAAAAAAGAAACAGTGGTCTACCATTTCCTGAGGTAGTATTCTAGGACAAAATTTTGAGGTTAAGTACTATGAGTATAGTTCTTTTGGTACCCAAATTAGATTGTCTAAGTGAATACACTGGTGAGATAACAGAGTGTTTGACATCAGGAAATTATCTTAGCAGAAAATTTTACCAGTATACCTATAAAACAGTATTTACCTCTTCTACCAGTGCCTTTTGGAAAAGTGCACGAATGGAAAGACAAGACTGATGGAAATTTTTTATAAGTTGGGAGTGTACAGAGCCACCTAGCTGTGCCACCTCTTCATGAGTAGGTGTAATGAAGATTCCTTGTATTGTTTCTAAGGCAACATAGTGGAAAAGTGTGTTCTCAGGACCAGATGTCAATCTTGGGAAAAACAGAGAGATAAAGGAAAGAAAAAAATTAAGTAAATTCAAACTTATTGTTTCATTTTGAACTCTGAAGAGCTCTTACAAGCTTTTATCTACAAGTAATGCAATTAGGGAAGGGAAATTGGGACAAACATTTAATTCTCTCTTTGTCCTTAACTAAAGTATAGGTAAGGGTTATTACTAATTCTCTTGAGACAAATACTATAGTGGGTGAAGGTAAATAAACAGTTCATTTGCAAGAGATCTAACTGTCCCTTTGCTAAACAGCCATTTTGGCCAAGCCCCCCCCCCCCCCATAGTTAGTAATAAATAACTCACGTCAGGCCTAGAAGCCATAAGCAAAGTTATCAGTCTAGGACAGACCACATATAAAAAGATACTTCAGTAAACTAAACAAATTTAAATCTGTAGAATTTAAGTCATTTGCCATGAGAGTAAAATTGATGATCCTGAAGAAATATGAAACTGTTACCAATTACAAAGTTGATTAATACTTTATAATACTATGAAAAAATTGGTAGTATGCTGCTACTGCTCTTAATTACAACCTTCCTTTTGTGTTCTCTGTTTTCATTTTTCTTTTCTGTCTTCCCATATTTAATCTCAGATACATCAACAGAATTTATAAATACTGCTAATTTGTACCAGAAGTAAGAAGAACTGAAAAACTATAACAGTAACAAGAAACAAGAACAAAATAAAAGTGATTACCATATAGTAAATATCTCCCATTTGCCAGCATAGATGTTTTAAAGTACCATATTTTAAATTCTCACAACCCTGAAAGATATTAAATATTAACATCCTCATTTTAACATGAGGAAATGTTTAAAAATTTAGATTAGATTGAGGTCACATGCCTAACCGCCAGAGCTTGGCTGACTCTGAAACTTGTTTTCCTATACCTTATTTTCTCCTCTCCACTGCTGGGTTTTCAAGGGCAGTCTTTATATGTATAGACAGAAAGTTCCCACTTGCATCTCAAACACTCAAATTTCCTATTCTAAGTCTTCTGAGAAAAAGGCTATCTATACTAAAAATTATGTTCTGTTAATTTTTTTCCCCAGTCATAAGCACAAACTTTAGCTCTTAGTCTTGGTACTATCTTGATCATTCATGCTAGTTAAATTCCTGTTAACTAGTTAACTAGGCAGTATGATCTGAATAAACTTCTTATATCACTGAGGAAAGAAAATCATCTATAAATTATTCTCACACTACTTTGCAGGATAGATTAGTCATTAACAACTGGTACATGGCATCTTTAAGAAATAAAAGCTTAACTAATCAAGATGAAAAGAATTATAACGATTTAAAAAGGAAAATAAAATACCTTAATTCAGAGGCTTCAACTCAAAAAAAAAGTAAAGAACAGAAATTATTCTTTAAAATTATTAATAAGATTCTTTTGGGGGGAAGTTGCAAACAGTATTTTTGTTATCTATATTTTCTTTCAAAGATAAGTCACAACACAATGAGCAGGTATAGCCCTTGAAAACCATAATTGCTCCATGTATACTAAAACTTAAAAAAATTACCAGACCAGCAATTACCCAGAAGGAAGGCAAAAGATTTGTACCCTCCAAAAGCAAAAATCAAAACAAAATAGCAAATAAAGTAAGATTTGTTCTTCATCAAGTTCACTGCTACGGCAGAGAATGGATCCAAGGGGGACTGGGAATTGGGAGGCTACTTAGTAAAATGAGGGAGGGAAAATGGGGCTTGGCTGACTGGGCTCAAAAATCCTGAAATCCACAATGGGGAAGACTTAGTTACCAAAGAAGTATTTGGTGTTCATATATTACTTTAAATGTATATTCTTACTTTATAAAAATATATCCATGTAAGTTAGAATAATGTATTATAACATGTTTTCAAAACACAGTATGAAAACACCTTTCCATGTCAGAGTAAATACACACATTTTTTTGCATCTCTTTAAAGAGGCCAGCCTATGAGTTGGTTACACCACATGTGAATTTGTTTAAACTAATGAACTTAAAAGAGATTTTACATTGTTTACTATAGTTAATAACCAAAATAATATATTTAACTTTAAAAATATGGTAAGGTAGTATAAAGTGTCAGAATAGTAGCTTTTGTTAAATGGAACACTAGGGTTTTAACATTAGAAGTGTTATGGTTTCTTTTTTTTTCTTTTTTCTTTTTCTTTTTTTTATCCATAGGTTATTTTATTTTTGATCAAGCCATAAGGTCTCATCAACAAAGCTAGAAGGAGGAAACGAATATGGAAAGAGCAATACAGAATTGATTTTAGGAGGTACAGAGCATTTAGAAAAGCAGTATATAGTTTCCAGTGCATATTGGAAACTCTAAAAGAGAGGTGTTATGGTTTCATAAAAGGTTTGATTCCAATTTTTAAAAATATTTTTCACTATTAAAAATTAAGCATTCTTATATGGAATTATGAAGTTTGTGTCCTAACTTTAAAAACTTATTACTGGCAACTCTTACAGACCTGAACTTATTAAGAAGTATTTCAGTGAGTAAAAAATCTGTAGTGACATACTCTTTGTATACAGATTCCATTTGTACATATCTAGTTGCCAAAGTGTCCAAATGAGTTTATTATACCAATTAATTCTACAAATAACATCATAATTAAGTACCAAGCAAGGTTCAGGCAGACCTGCTTGTCAACCTGCTTGTCAACAGTAATTACAAACACAAGGAGTACATGACATTTCATATTGTTGATAATTATGGATGGTTTAAGTTGCTAAGAATTTGTCTTCACCTCATCTTTCACCTCAGAATTCCCTACTCAATATAAATAAATTTAAAATTTAACCTATTTTCTAAGGAAGTGCTAATAGCACTTCAAAAGGACTGGTTTCCTAGCACCCAGATGCTGCACTCAGGGAGGAAGCTTGGTGGGGGGTACTTCAGGACAATAGCTGTGGCAGAGAGGTGGTGGAAGCAGGACTGGTATGAAGTTCTTGAACAGAGGTTTGCAGCTGCAAAATATCTCAGCAGACACCACTGTGAACTATGAAGGATAGCCTTTCAGAGTTGTCTTGAATTGAAGCAAAGGGTCATGCCTTTTCAGTTACTAATATATCAATCATTAGAAGTGGACTACTTGCAAGGATAGGAACTCAGCCATGAGTCATTAGCAGCCGTCATTCCCATGCAGTAGGATTGAATATGTGGAGCTAAGGGCTAGCTGGAGATCCAACAAAGAGCCTAAAATTAGTAAAATCTAATTTAAAAATTATACCAGACATGCAAAAGGAAAGTTACCCATGGAAGAAAAACATGAGACTTTAACATTCTGAAATAATACTTTGCATGTTTTTATCTCTTAAAACATGAAAATATATACTTTTCTAAATTTAATTATAGAAATATGATAGCTATTATCTCAAATAAGATAATACATAATTTGTTGAATAATCTCTGTATGCTGTAGAATTGTTCTTTCATACTGTAAGGTTTCTTCAAAGACAAAGTGAAAAAGAATATTTAGAAGAAACTTTCTTACTTCATTGTGTTATACATTTCCAGTTCTTTTTCTGAAAGATCTTTTTTCAAGTTTCCCAAGTGAAATGGATTTGGAAGGGTAGACTTCTTTTTAGTACCCTGGAAAACAGTTAAGTAGATCAGTTTATATCTAAGAATAGAATCAAACAGAACGTATTTAAAAACTCCTCTAAGAGAACGTCTTAGTATTTTGCAGTGTTTCCATTGAATATTTTTGATGCTAACTTGCACCTCTTGGCTCATCCTTCACTAACAAGGATCCTGGAACTATATCATGGGAGGGCATGTTGGTGTTCCCTGAAAATTCCTATCACAGCCATTATGGAGCCAGTACCAAATTTTATGTTATATACTTGTCTCTCTCCCTGGACTCTGCACTGCTCAGTCTTACTCATTTGGGAAACTCTTTTGTGTAACATAGCCCTCAGCACTTAGTAACTATTCAATCAACATTTCTTGCATGGATGAATTGTAAAAATTCAGTTTTTCTTAAGTACTATTTATAATTTTGTTATCTTAAATCTATGCAAATCCTCTTAAGACCCTATTTCCTCCCGATTTCCTTTACTGAGATAATGGATACCGTTATAATGTGAGTGCTTTGTCAATACATTGCATTTAGTGCTCCAATACTTATTTTGTTGCTTGGAATTAGGAGACTGAGTCTATGGTTATTTATGCTGTGCCACTCAGAATCCCGTTTTCTTGGTGTCTCTTCTAGGACTCCAGCTAGTCACAGCTGGGGTCACCTTCCCTACACCTACATTAGGCAAGTTTCAAACAGGTTTTGAAAACAAAAGCATCATTAGTATATCAGGATGATTACTTTGGTAATCAGTTGAATATTTTATGGTATTTTCATGGCAACAATCAATAAATCTCAACAATGAACATCTTTGCTTTATAGGCTCATTTTGAATCAGTCTTTCCATTTGGAGACTAGAACTTCATAAATGTAGTTAAAATAAGTATCTGTAAAAAGTGTGTGAGCGTGTGCACGTGCACACACACACACACACACACACACACACACACTTTTAAAATTCTGATTCTTTTGCTTTACTGAATACTTCACTGGCTATTTATTCAGGTAAGCACCCTAAATGTCCCACAGCTAGGATGTTTTCTATAATCCCTGTGAAGAGAATAAAGAGACAAATATGAACAGCAAGATTAAAGAGTTTCTGCATATATATATCCTATTAAGTACATACTGGATGTTAAGAGGCTCCTGCGTTATTATTTGCTATTTCAAATAAAGAATGATCTACCATTTGAAAACTCTCTTACAATTATAAAATAAAGACTAGAGAAACAAGTGGAGCCCTAAAAATGTACACACTTGAATGAAACACACCTTAAGGAAGGCCCCACTTTCTTCTGAACCATCAGACCCCTGAGTTTCTCTTTGTTTTCGTACTACTTCAGGTGTAGGGTGAGGGCTAAGGCCAGGCCCTTCTCCAGCTTCACAATCATTGTCACATCCCCCACTGCTTCGGGAGGGACTAGGCTTCCGTGTCTTTAGAGAATAGTCAGCAAAAAGGATTCTTCTGCATGTTGGAGAGGTTGCAGTTTTCGTAGTACCTTGTAGTCTACTAAGGATAGGTGAAGTGGCTAGACCATCTGCTTTTTCCTGTGGCCCAGCAAGGAACCAGTCAGCACATGACAAACAGGGGCTTGGCGCAGATGCTAGCCGTTCATCTATACGGGAATCTGTTCCTTCTAGCTGGTGAAGAGTAGTTCTGACTTGATCCACATATATACAGTCTGGGCCAGGATTTCCAATAGCTTTGGATGCACAGCCTCCAGCTTCTAATAATACACATAACATATAATGTCTCTAGAAAACAAAATTGTTCACAGAGGTTTATCTACCATTAAAGTGCACATATATCATTCATGTATAAATTTATAAATAAAAGGACATACAGGCATTTGTCATAATCACCCTCTCTTCTTATCATTGCTTTCTGTTGAAAACAATCTCACACTGTCTTTATTTTAATTAATCACCAACCACTTCTCTTGGTACAAGAAATTCCCTAAGATATCTCTCAAAGAGCCTCAATTATTAGAAGTCTTTTAATTTCCAGTTACATATTATACCCTTTGGATTCTATATTCTTTTTATGTCTTTCTGTATTTACCCAAACAAGCCAAAGGATAACATTATAAGAAGAGGATCAAAAGATCTTCAGAATCTGCTAAAAAATGTTTTTGCATTTTATAAATATTTCTACATTGAGTATTAAATACATATGAAAGAAAAGGAATGAAAGGATATATATATATATATATATATATATTTAAACATTTAACACTTAACTTGTCTTACATGTCAGCTACTTAATGTTATGAGATTTAGTTAAAAGAAAGATGCATGGTTATTTCTGAAAATAAGATAAACACACACACACATATATATATATGTATATGTATACATACATATATGTTTTTTAAATAGTGGTATTCAGCATATTCATAGTTTTAAATGAGCATGTTTGTAAATTTAGCAAGTGAATACATGGCCAAACATAAAACCATCAAAACTCAAGCAAACTTACCAATCCAACAATTAGCAAAAAATATCTCCCTTCAGGTTCCTGAAAGACTTCAGTGTTTGAGGCTGAAGAAGGCTGGAGGTGATGACGAGGAAATACTTCTCTCCATATTATCAACTGACCAATTCTTTGTTTTGCTGCTAAAGGCAGCAGCCCATAGTAGCGACAGTAAAGAGCAATCTCAATGAGGTCATCCTTAGGCAAATGACTGCATATCAAATAGCCCTAGAATTTAACCACAAAAGTCAGCTTCAGTTGGCTTACAATGTTTTGATTTCAAATACAATAAGTGAATATATAGCAAAAGTAATTTTTTTTCTGATACCAAACTAGAGATCAAATGCTAACTTAGGGAACCTATTAGATGGACTTTAGCATGAGCCAAGATTTCCTCTGGATAGTGTCAGGTATAAGTAGAAAAAATGAATTATCAAACTAGAAAGTGAAGAAGCAAGGTGAAGTGAAAAGACTTTTCATTGTGCACCCTTCTGCATCTTCTGATTCCACATATGTTATAGATATTTAAAGAGCTTTTAAAATGAAAATACTTAAACATTTGATACTTGTCTTACATGTCAACTACTTAATGTTATGAGATTTAGTTAAAAGAAAAACGCATGCTTATTTCTGAAAATAAGATAAAAAACACACTATTACTAAAGGAAACTAAAAATATTGCTCTTCTCTCATATACTTGGTTCTTTTGAGTATTATTTCTCACGCATTTGAGAATGCTTTACAATGCAATAATAAACCCTATTTATTACATTTGTAAGTGTACAAATGCAAATGTTGTTTTAAAGATCTTAATCTTTTAGTAATTACATTCATAGGAAAAGAGAATATTATTTATTTATTTATTTTGAGAGACAGGGTCTTGCTATCTAGTGTAGGCTGGCCTTGAACTTGCTTATATAGCTTAGGCTGGCCTTGAACTCATGAGATTCTCCTGCCTCAGGTCCCTAAGTGCTGAGATTACAGGCATGTACCATCACACCTAGCTAAGGTATTTTTCATATATATTACAGTTTGAGAAAATTTATTTTAGGTCTATGGCCATGGGAGTTAGATAATTATAAAAGTTTCCAAACTTCAACTTACCCTATAAAATAGAGAAGACCCCAAAATTGTATATAGACGTCTCATGTCATAGTAATCTTCAGACTGGGGGGAAAAAAGAATCAGTGGATTTATATCATGGTTGTGTGTGTTAAACTATAATAGTTAAAATGGAAATTATGTTCTTTAGGACCAACTTTTCATAGTGCTTTCTTTAGAAATCAATCTACTATAGTATTAAGGTGAATATAATATGAATATATATCATTTGACTGATTCTTTCTTTCTTTCTTTCTTTTTTTTTTGGTATTGGGGATCAAATTTGGGACCTTGTGCTTGCCAGGCAGGTGCCTATGCCACTGGGCTATATCCCTGGCCCTGATCTTTCTGTTCTTATAAAACACTTACTTAGAAACATCTAAAAATGAAACCTAAAAATTTGTTCTTCTATGAGTTTTCTTAAATCTGTTAAGATAAGCTTCTACTATATATCATTTAAATATTAAAAAGGCAGGAATTGCAGGGTGTGGTGGCACATACCTGTAATACCAGTACTTGGGTAACTGAGACTAGAGGATCAGTGCAAGCTCAAGGCCAGCCTAGGCTACATAGTTTAAGGCTAGCCTGAGCAGCATAGTGAAGAACACCACCAAAAAATAAAATATAAAAAGGAAGAAAGAGGGAGGGAATAAAGGAGGGAGAACTGGCTGAGATATAGGTTGGTGGAAAGCACTAAGTTCATTCTATAGGACTACAACAAATGGAGGTAGGAGAATACAGCCTAGTAATACAGCGCTTGTCTAGCAAGCTTGAGGTCCTGGGTTTAATTTTCCTATTGCAAACAGACAAAAAGAAATAAAAACCATTCTGATAATTTCAAATTAAATTCAGATCTAACACGTTCTCACTTAAATAGCAGGTCCTCACTTAAATAGCAGGTCCTCACTTAAATAGCAGGTCCTCACTTAAATAGCAGGTCCTCACTTAAGTGGCAGGTTCAAAATCACTATTATATTTCAAAAAGCATTCATAAATGCACCAATATAATTTTTTTTCTGTTCTAAATTGTGTAATAAATATTTTCAACTGAGTGGACAAATCTTAAAAGCAATATTATAGCTTGTATCTAGTTGTCTCCCAAAGCCTCATGCAGTCATGGAGAGGACTTCTAGAGTTTGTGATTAACTCAAGATCCACTGGGATTATGGGTGTTAGTGCTGCTAGGATTATGGGTGTGAGTATTGCTGGGAGTATGGGTGTGAGTGCCACATCCAGCCTGGAGCAGATAGCCTGAATGTAATAAAAGAGAGACAGAGAGACAGACTTGCTATCTGCAGCCACTGTTGTTGCTACTTCTCCTTTTTGCTCTCTGCTCTTTGCCACTGTCATGAAAAGTTGCTCTGTACCATGTGCCGCTCTGCCTTGGAGCCAGCCAAGTATGGACTGAAACCTCCAGTAACTGTGAGCTCAATAAACGTTTCCTTCCTTCATTTTGGTGTCAGGTATTTGTCCCAGCAGTGAGAGAAGAGTAATTGAGAGAGGCAAACAAAATAGACTTTTTCAGTGTCAAAACAGAAGCCTAAAGCTGTGAATTTCAAGATTAAGTTTATTTGGAAAACACTGAGAATAATGACTGGTTTATAAAATAAGAAGTCAATTGTGAGCCTTTTCTAAAAATCCCTTTCTTTTTCTCTTACCAGTTCTGCAAAATCTGCAGCCTCCAAGTCACTTAATGCTGTGTCTAGTTCCATCTATGAAAAAAAAAAGCACAAACATTTGACTCATTTTAGTTTCTTTTCAATAATGCTTATATAAAAATTACTTAATAACTACTTAGAGTTCAGCATTTTTCTCTTTGGCATGACATTTAAAATATCTCAAAATGGAACATCTTCTTAAGCTTTCAATTATTAAAAACATTTATTTAACATATAGGCATTTTTCAACTAAATCTTAATTATTTCAGAATGGTCTTTACCAACAGTGTTCAATGCAAAACAATTTATGCGGTTAAAGAACAGTTTTCTAGTTTTGAGTTAGAAATACTTTAGCCCATTACCTTTCTTAAAATAAAATGAAAATCAGTATTAAGTAGCCAGTCTATTTTGAGTTGTTTTTATTTTTCATTTCCTGTGTATTTCTCATCAGTTGGATTCTTGAAAAATACCAACATTCTTCCTTGTTGGACACAGTGTTTTGAATAGAAGGCTTGTCAATCTTTATTCACAGATTAAAACATGAAGGCAAGTGTTCCCCTGGAATCTGGCACACTTTAACCACCCCACAGAGTTATTAGAAAAAATCCTTTACATAGGATTTGCCTTTTGTTTCTATGGAAATTGCTTGAACTTTTCCTTGAAGCATTCACAACTTAAAAACTGTGAATTTAATCTGTAATACATGCACAAATACATATATTGAAAATTATAGGTAATTAAATTTTGTAGCATACATACTATGTGTAAGAGTCCTTTCCTTTTTTTCTCTTCTCAAGGTCAAGACATTCTCTGTAGGACTAAGCTTCACACATTATGTCTGACTGATGACAAACGCTTTTGCAACATTAGTCATGCCTTTCAGTGCTTTTCACACAGTATGACTTATAACTCGCTGGTGGCCTACGTTTTTCTGCATCTAGCAAATATTTCAGTTTCTCTTTTTTGTAGTTATAGTTTCTCTTGTGATAAACAATGGAACAAAGATTATAGACTTATGATTTCTGAACTCTGAAGCTGTTTGAGTTGCTATTTCTGCTACTCAACAGGCTAACGTACAAGATTAATAGAAATGTTTATTTATATTATTTAAAAATATTTTTCCTCTTAACTATTTCAAGTACCCCAGAAAAATAGATTGAAAAGAATATATGCTAAACAAGAAAATTTAAAAACACCTGGAAAGAACCTGAAGTGAGACATTATATATTAACCTCAGAACAAATAAGTCATTTTCAAATTAAAGATAACTAATTCCACTTCAGATCTGCTAGGCACAAGTTACTTTAAACTAGAGTTCTTGAACTTATATTTCTTAATATTTTCCATTGGAAAATAGTTACTGAAACCTATTTTAAGACAATGAAAAATCTCAGAGAAAAAGTGTCTCAGTTCTTTGAGCTTGTTGGTAAACTAAAAACTTGGGGAATTTTTTGTTTCTGCTTAAACATGTAAAGAGCCTGAAGTTGCTACTGTGTCCTAACAAGTAAAAAGCTGAACAGAATAAAAATCAGTAACTCTTGGATCTATAAGAGAGGTAATAATACAGTAAACCACCGTCGCCAAGATAGGAGAGACAGATGAATCCAGGAATTCATGACTGACTAGAGCTGAGACTTAGTTGCAGAAACTGGTAAGAAAAGCAGTGCCAGGGCAAGAAAACCCAGATTACAACTGACAAACTGGAGGCTCCCTGTTAAAGAGTTAAAAATTCCATGGGAACCTGAACTTGTCCAGGTTGTCACAGTAAATAGGAGAGAAAAATCTTGTCATGCTTCTGGGAGGGGAAGAGCAGAGTGAAAGGAACAATTCTGAAATACTCTTGAGCACTTTGTTCTTCTTAACAAAACCTGCACCAAGGACGAACTAGTTAACGATAGCCTGATATAGTGGGGTATAATTATAGCATAACTGACCTAGAGGAGGGCAGTATAACTGCAGTGAGCAATGGCTTTTCACACCAGAAAAGAAAAAACTCTTAACCTTCTACATGGAAGAAGGAAAATACCCAATTCAAGCTCCCTTTAGCGTCCTGTCTCACCAGAGGAGGGAGAATTAAACATTTATGCCCATGAAAGTACTATGTAAGTGTGTTTATACTTGCAAAAAATCAAGGTGTCGTCCAGTAGGTGAACAGAGAAATAAACTAGCACATCTAAACAGAGGAATATTATTCAACACTAAAAAGAAATGAGCTATCAAGTTGTAAGAAGACATGGAGTGACCTTACATCCATAATACTAAGTGAAGAAAGCCAATCTGAAAAGACTAGATATTACGTGATTCCAACTATGTGACATTTTGTGAGAAAAACAACTCAGGAGATAGTCAAAAGGTCAGCTGACTTTTGAGAGATGAGAAGGGAAAAGTAGAGTACAGAGGATTTGTGCTTGGGAAATAAAACTACTTTTGACTTTACTATAGTGGATAAATGTGTACAGACCCATAGAATGTACACCACAAAGTGAACCCCAACAAGAACTAGGGAAACTATACGATATTTACACATGTGTGTCTGGTTTAATTCCCTTATGAGTATATCTTCAAGTGGCACCCACTTAAATATAAAGGCTTTGAGTTTATCATTCTTTATAGCTGAGTAATACTACATTGTATAAAAATACCACATCTTTTTCATCCATTCCTCAGGTGATGGGCATCTTGGTTGTTTCCAAGATTTGGCCATCAGAAATTGTGCTGCTATAAACAT